GGGTCGGATACTCCCTCGATGGGTAGTGGTAGGGAGTGCCGTTGTGCCAGATATGGTCGTCACAAATGACCATAGAGCCGGAGAGAAGAGTGTCTTTGTTGGAGGTCTCTCCAACTTCGTCCATCGTCCTTAGGTGATTATCCAGAAAGTCATCATGATGCTGCTCTGGCTCCGGCAGATCAGCGACACCAGTAAGGCCAACCATGGCAGATGTCCGCTTGACACCCTTGTCCGAGCGGGGTCTTCGCTGCTTCTTAAGCTGCACCCCTCCAGAACCGGTATCATCAGCGTATTCGTCATCGCTACGGCGGTCGGCCTTACGCTTCTTCTCACGAAGCATTCGCTTTGATTCTAGGCCTAGATGCGCAGTACGAACGTGCTCTTCAAGGCTGGCTTTGCTGGTAAAGCTGCGATTGCAGCCATGGATGGCCACATCTTCCTGATCTGCGACTTCTTCGGGGAGTGCAATTTCGGTCTTGCCGCACACAAAGTCACGCTTGTTCTCATGGACGGTTTTGATGTGGACGTTCAGATTCCCCTTTTTGGTGAACTTCTTGCCGCATCCTTGGACAGTGCACGTGAAGACGGCCGAGTCTTCTGATTTCCTCTCTGGTAGAATTCCATGTTGGATTTCAAGATGCCGGGTCAATTCCTTGTTGGTGGTGAAAGAGGTCGGGCAATATTGACAAGTTGGCGGGTGGACAATGGTGAGGTGAGCCTGGAGTTCTCCATAGGTTGCAAAGGACGCCCGAATCACTTCCCTCTCATCATCGGGGTTAGCAAGAATGGCAGCATTCTGGGCCATACAGTCCGAGCAAGAAAAGCGCGAGGTATCATGCTTGGCTCGCATATGGCAGCGCAAGTTCTCCGCTGTATCGTAGGCCTTCTTGCACGGGGCACCAGTCACTGAATCCAACTCTTTGCAAGGAAATGGTTTGATGTTGTGATGAACAGACAGAATGTGCCGATCTAGAGTATCTTGTTTGCGGAAAGTCTGATCACATCCAGGATACCCGCGGCATCTGAACCGCTCTTTTGCTTCATGTGTCTCGAGATGGCGCCGGAGTCTTGTTCCTGTTGTGAAACTTGAGTCACATCCTTCCCAAGTGCACTTGTAATCCCTTATGTTGCTATGTTGACTTTTGACATGGTGTTTCAGGTGGCTGTCACGGAAGAAAGCTTTTGTGCAGGGAGGGTGCGGACATTGGAAAGGGCGCTCGTTTGTGTGGGATCGGATGTGCTCTTCGAGCCGCACTTTGCGATCGAAAGCTTTGTCGCAATTGTCGTAAGGGCATTTTAGCGTTTTTTGGCGACAGCGAGGAAGCGTTCCTGAAGGAGGAGTTGAAGCTGGAGTGTCATCACCCTGCTCTTCAAAGTCGTCGTCACTGTCCGAGTCGAGCATATCATAGTCCTTGTCGAAATTGTCGTCGTCGGACTCGACCCGCATCTTAGCGACGGCTCTGCGCGCCCGCGCCCTGGTTGCCTTTCGTCAAAATCTTGGAAAATACGTGGCTGCGACTGAAAATTACGAGGGGCTTGAGACAATGCCGGTAACGAATGGGAGAGTGTGGGGTCGCCAACCGCGGAAATCTTTGTCGGCGAGGCTGAAGTTATTGTGGGACCGCCAAGGACAATCACGTGGGACCGCGACAAGACGAGGCTGCGACAACCAAAAACTTTTTGTTTCTTGCGGGCAGAGTGGAATGCAGAACAACAGTCTTGCGCCATCCATATCTCTTCTTCAAATTCGGTTATTGTTCAGCTGGTCTGTATTATTGTGTCTCTGCGCCGTGACTGCTGAGGATGTCGGACTATGGTGATGAGGGCGGGTGGGTGACCTCTTCATGCGCAAGTTTCTTTTCATCGCCTCTAACGCATTTGTTCTCAATCCAGCTACGGCCGAGACGAGCCTGACGATACCTTCTATGAACCTGAGGACAATGTCGACGACGAACTGCCGCCGGATGCCGAGGTCGATGAAGAAGCCATCGAGGCGCGGGCTAGAGAGGAAGAGGGGGATGAGAGGACTGTCGTGTCGGCCGATCCAAATCAGAATGTCCAGAAGCCTTCAAGCGACGCCGACAAGAAAATTCCTGACGACAAGAGGACTACTACGCCTTACATGACCAAATATGAGCGCGCAAGAGTGCTTGGTACTCGGGCGCTGCAAATCAGGTAAATGCCCTCAACGTACGTTAGACCTTCGTCAACTGCGGAGACTGACTGCCAGATAGTATGAATGCGCCGGTTCTCGTTGACTTGGAAGGCGAGACGGATCCACTGCAAATTGCGATCAAGGAACTGAACCAGAAAAAGATTCCTCTCATTGTCCGCCGTTATTTGCCTGACGGATGGTGAGTTTGTCAGAACAGCGCCGTCAGGAAAACACGATTCTGACTCTTTGACAGGTATGAGGATTGGACGTGCGAAGAACTGTTGTGAAGCCTCGGTCTTTGCTTCTGTCGACTGGCTCCAACATCAATGAAGGAATGCCGCCATTATTCAGCCATCGTCCATGGATGAACACATCATGCAACACGCAGATCTGACACGACAGAATCTTGTCTTCGGCCACTCCTGGATTGTTCATGCATGGTAACTGCATCAAAAGGCTGGAACACCCTAGCACCTGACTACACCGCAGTACTCCAGGCCCCGAAAGTCACCGAGCCACGGCAGATGCTCCAATGCTACAACGGCCCGGGTTATTGGTCGAGAAACAACACTTTGAATCCGTACTGGTGTTTCGGTTTCACCCCATCGTCCCTGCATGCCTTGGTCTTGCAATCCTGCGCATCATAATTCGCTCAAGCTTTACCCAAACTCAACACTATAAAGCAAAATGCGAGGCTATCTCACGAGCGTGCTGACACTGTTGTGGGCCTGGGGGCGGCTGTGTACGAGTATGATCCATAATCCTTCTCCGTATTCTGATTGGCGGCATAGGGACACTCCAATGGCGAACGGCAAATTCTCGAGCACTCCACAAAAGATCATTGATCCCGCCCAGGCTGCTTATGCCTGACGGAAATGCTACCAAAGTCTTCTTGTATAACTACCTTCCAGCTCCTCTAGACCTCCTTGGTTCTCTGCTTGTATCGAACAGCTTCTGCAACCTCCGTTTCTCTCTGCGCTGCCCAAGTGTTAGCACTCCTACAATTTGTTGCCTCGTCACCAATCCACAAGGCTTTCGTCCTCAAAAGACCATGTCGGCCTCGCCGCTCACCCCAGGCAAGCATACTACAACACTCAATAACCTGACAATCCACTACCATGTCATTGCCGACTCGCCTGGCCTCCCGCCTCTGATCGTCTGTCCTGCTCCATGGGGAATCGGCGCAGATCTGTATATCAAGGCCTTCTCCCGTCTCTCCTCAAGATTCACACTAATCGTCCCGTCTCCACGTGGCAATGATGATTCGCAAAGTCCTGCCAACCCACAAGAGATGTCCACGCGCCACCACGTTGAAGACGTGGAGGCTCTGCGGACACAGCTTGGTCTGGAGAAGATTAATGTCATGGGTCATTCAGCCGGCGGCGCCGTCGCACTAGGCTACGCGATCGTGTATCCGTCACGGGTGGAAAAGCTCGTCCTCGTCAACTCGGACCTCTTGGGCTACGCCCGCCAGGACCGGTCCTTCTTCGAGGAAGTCTTCAAAGTGTTCTTCGAGAACATGCCCACGAACGACGCCGACTTCAGGCAGTTTCTCCTGAAAATCATTCCGCGGTACTTTGCCCATCCGGAGCTGGGCGGTCCAGCCGAGTTCGAGAAGCAATGGACCGGCGCACCCAGCCTGTGGGCCTACGGCTCGTATTACAGCGCCGATTCTGCCGCTGCGCCCGGCGAAGGCGCCCCAGCAGACGGCAACGCCAAATGGAACGAAGCGGCCGAGCTGCACAACGTCACCGCCCCAACGCTGGTGCTCACGGGGAGGCAGGACCGCGTCGCTGCACCGGAGGTCAGCACCGCCATCGCCGACGGTATCAAGGGCAGCAAATTGGCCATTCTGGAATCTTGCGGGCACATGTCGTGGGTCGAGCAGCCCGAGCAGTTCTGGAGTGCAGTGGACGGCTTCCTAAGCAATTAGAAGATGTAACCATCTAGACCCAGTGTGGCCCAACTCAACGACATGGAGCAAGATGGGGGGGTGCATAAGCAAGTGAGAACAAAATGATAAGACGGTGTGGTGTGGTGTGAAACTGAAACCCTCGGCGTGCCAACCTACACTGGTACTCTGGAGAAGGAAGATGGTGGCGAGCGAGCAACTACAGATACAAGTACATAGACAAAACAAAACGGGACAATGCAGGACGCAATCAAGACCTAAATTCGCTTCCGGTGCTCTCCATTCTCTTATTACCCCATGCTCTCTCTGCACATGTAAGAAATCCCAGATCCCAAAACTGAAAAAACTAAAACCGGGTCAAGCCGAAGGGAACTTTCCCATCTAGGGAAACCCACTGCGCCAGTGCCAACCAACCAACCAACCAACCAACCAACCAACCAACCAACCAACCAACCAACCAACCAACCAAACTCCGCACAGTAAGTATCGTATGTCCGGCAACCAGTGTCGGATGAATCGGTGTATCATGGTCGAAACAAAAGGCTGGATAACTAGCTCGTTTCCTCTCTCCTCTCTACCCTCTACCCTCTACCCTGTGCTCCCGTTTCGTCTTGACGGTTCCATAAACCTCGCACAGGGTCTCTTGCATCACTGTTGCCATCTCACCCATCCTCGCGTACGTGGACTGGACATCCCTCCGTATCCATACAGAGCAGGATCAGTGGGAGACGTGCCTTTGGTCTGGGGTCTGGGTCTGAACAGGTGGTCGGTTCGTATGATATTATCCACAGGATGATAGTGTAGGATGTTGAGCTCTGTCCGGAAAGGCAGGTGGGGGTTGGGGATAGGAATCATTCGAAGACTTGCATGCATGCGGTTCAATTCCAAGCGTCCAAAATGGCGGTCAATCGATCCATCGGTTGGCTGGCAGTCTCAGCAAAATCGCACTTTGGGCGAGCGTCGCACAACCCAGGCGTTCATGTCCTCATCCCACACGGCGTTCTCGGGTTCGGGGATGTGGTAGGGCCGAGGTTCCCGAGCGTTTAGGTCGCTCATGGGGTCAAAGAAGACTTCGTCTTCGTAACAGTCGTCGACGACTTGGGGCGGTGGTGGTCCAGGGGAAGAACAGTGGAGAGGGTCTTCTGGCGCTCGAGCATGCCTGACGCAACGAAGACGCGCTCGCTCGACGGGGATCTTTTGGACGAGGCGAAACGGGAACGACTCCCTGCGGTGGTGAGGCGTTTCTTCAAACACAGGAGAACACGGTGGTGTGGCGTTGAGAGGTCGTCGGACTTCAATCCTCGGCGGTCGAGGTCGAGGAGACGGATCACCTGGCTCCCTTCTTTCTTGACATACCTCCACGAAGAGTCTGTCTCCGTGCGGATGGACCCGATGATGGCGACCGATGACATCCATGTCCTCCTCACGCACGATGATCACCTCTCTCTCTGGGTCTCTATCCCTGTCTCTCGGCGGCGCTGCTCTCTTCTTCGACGGCCGATGGAGACGGAACACGTCCTTCCTGTTCCTCACCAGGCAGAGCTGCCCGTTCCTGCGCTCGATGTAACTCCATCCTCTCTCGTACGGCGGAGCGACAACATGCTTCTCAAAGCGGATGGGGAAGGGATTCACAGTCTGGGCCATCTTGTGCGCGAGCCGGATGGGGGCTTCAAAGACTTTGATGAAAGGGAAAGCGTCCCTGGAGGAGAATTTGAGGATTTTGACCGTTTGCTCCTCTGAACAAGACTGTACCTGCTCTCTGTCGGTGCGTTTGCTGGGGTCGGTGGAACAACGATGGTAATGACGATCATGGTGGGAGGTCATGTCGTTTGACAACATGCATTCGCTCTAAAATAGGCTGGAATTCTGACTGGAGAGAGGCCAAGCACAAACACCTACAGTTTGCAAGGTCTGGGGCCCTTCGAGCAGAGGAGATAAAGAAAGTTTTAAGACACGGCAAACGGCCAGCGCTCCCAGGACTGCTGCATTTACCTTGTCCACTTAGCTGTTGGGAGGGGTCATCCTGCACTAAATGTATGGGTATTCTGGATGGGTATTGTGATGTACTCACGACATCCGACATGTTCTTTGTCAAGGTCTCAGGACATTATGGCTGTGTGCTTAAAAGTCTCACCGGACCGGCGATGGAGTCAGGTGGCCGGTGTAACAAGCAAGCCAGGCAAGGCTGGCTGGGTGTGTCGCGGGGCTTTCTTTGAGATGTGCATATCTGCAATGCAATGTCCCGAAACTGAAAGCCAGCAGACAAAGACAAAGCGGAAAAATACCAGACAGTCCCGGGTAAGAAAGACATGGACAATGAGGATTTGTTTGGATACATGCAGATGGAACGATTGAGAAGCTGGAATCTTGCAGAAGACAACAAAGTTGATACCAAACGACGCTAGTGCAAATATGGAAAGGCGGCATTATTATGTAATGCCCGTGTCGTCATGCCCGGTCAACGCTGCAAATCATGCGCCCATTGGTTCCATGTGGCCATGTCAGCTGCAGGAACGAGCCTTGTGAGTTTTACAAGGCAGCAGGGCGGGATTGAGGGTTCCAGGGACAGCCATTCGGATCCTGTGTCGTCTCATGGATATCTTCTTGGTGTGCGGCCTCTATCATAACTTGGCCTTCTGTGATCTATAAGTCACCGTCTGTCTTTTGATCGGACGGCGAGTGACCAACCTGAGCGACATCTGCCTGCTTCTCAACATGTGCCAGGATCCATTCTCCCACATCTTTTGCAAACTGTTCGCCTACTCCGTCGGGCTCAGCATGGAGCTTGTGATAGGCGTCGGGATACGACTTGAATGTTTTGTCTTTGTTGGGCGCTTCCAAGACGTTGAATAGTTGCTGCGCGGCGATGTACGACAAGATCCGGTCGCCGGTACCAAAGGAGAACCACAGGGGACACGGGGCTTTTGTTGTATAACCAGGTATGGTGCGGCCATGGGAGAGATGCGAAAGTTCTGCCTCTCTTTGCAAGAGTCCTTTGAGTCCTTCTAGCGTGCCGGTATCATGGCACAGTGGGTCGTCAATCCAGTCTTGACAGACCGTCTGCGAACGGGACATGTACGTTGCACTCAGCTTTTGTTTGAGCTGTGTACGGGGCAAAAGCACGGCGGCCAACTTGCCCGCCTGAACTTTCAAGTAGGATGGCTGATTGGACGCATGTATCTCCACATAAGGCGCTTCGAGGAGCAGGCCACAGATCGCAGGTCGATTGGAATACTCCGTAGATGTGGAGAGCATGTAGCACAGAGCCTCACCTCCACCCATACTGTGGCCCATCAGGAACAATGGCTTGCCCTGAGTCTCGGGCAACGATGCCACATGGAGAACAAAATCATGAAGATCGGATAGGACCAGTGTCGTGGGGCCTGTATTGCCATTGTCTGCTGGCTTACGGCATGATCGGCCCCAACCCCTTTGATCGAATCCGTAGACGGCAATGTTGAACGGGGGCGAGCACAGAGTGGGGAAGAGATCGTAGTAAGCTAAAGATGTAAGTCTCTCAATAAGCTGCATGCACTTGCCGGGGGGCAATATACCATTGATGTGGTCGGAGAACCCATGAAGGAAGATCAAGACGGCCTGCACTGCATCGCTTCGGGGCTAGATTTGAGAGAAGACAAATCGTCAGAGAGAGAGACTGTGAAGAGATTCATCAACAACGCATCGCGATGTGCTGGTTGGCCTGTGGTAGCGAGAGATGCTTCCGGCCGGGTCCGTACCTTCCATGTTTTGGTATATAGCTTTGTGCCATCCTTGGTGGTGAATTCGCCCTCGACAGTGTCCATCATCGGGTTGCTAAGGGGCATTCAGGAAAGGATGTGCAGACAACCACGATGCCACGCTCAGGAACTTGCAGGCAATAGAAAAGAAATGAAGAATGGTGGTCTACACCCACTGAGCGTTGGGTCGATGATCATGCCATGCGCCTGGACCGCGTCTCGCCCCCTTTGCAAATGGCCGAGGATGTCGGAGAAAATTGGATCCGGCTTCAAATGACGTGTAATGACACAAATGACACACATATGAGCCAGATCGGAAGGTCGGATTCCGACAACGACGCGCGTCAAACATAAACAGGCCATGCACCCCATGACTCGGTACAAAAGGGAACAATAACTGGGGCGTGATGATGAAACAGATAAGGTAAGGATCTGTATTCCAAGGGGTTTGACCGAGAAGCGACGTCGATACTAACACAAGTAGGTAGACATTGTGAAGTTCTTGAAGATGGGCTTAGATTTCTTGTGCGTGCAGCGAGCTACCAAAGAAGACACCATGACCTTTCCTCAAGTGGGTTTCGGATGTTCACCTTCGAGCCTGGGAAAGAAGTAATATGTACGTTGGATGAATTACTGGAGGATACACTTACCACCACCATACTGGATACGCCTTCAAACATTTTGATAGAACACCCCGTTGTTTATGTCGAGTTCCAAATTCGTGGCTCGCATGGTGCATTCATTCCTGAAAGAGGCTTTTCAAAGGGCACTTCTTGTTTCTCATTAGATCCAGGTATTTACGGAGATGTACCTGGGTAGACAACCGCTCTCGTTGATCTTTTTTCAGAGTGTCTCATTTCCTGCTCGCTAACCCTACACCAAGGGTACCACCTCGTCTTTCAGATTGTCAACAGCTTTTCCGTCGTAATACATGGCCCCATGAATGTAGCACTCTCCTCGTAGCTCATAGAACTTGGTGCCAGGTCTTTTTCGGATTACGAACGGCACACTAGCTCCATGGACCAGAAAGATGTTGTCCCCAGGCTTGGTTCCTCCAGGCACGACTCCTGCATACCCTCTCATGGTAAGACAGGCCGCTGCATCCGGAATCCTCCCGACAAAGGCAGCGGCGGTCTCCCAAAATTGGTATCTTCGCCGCTGGACCTCTTCTGGCTCGGAGAGGTGTTGCCGCGCATCCTGGCCAGGACGCAGGGCGAGAACCTCGTTTTCAAAACCTTGCGGCCATATTTCAGGCGGGTTCTCTTCCTCCCCGCTCTTCTCCCAAGGGAGGATGTCTGTCCTCGTTTGTGGGCCGACAGCATCCCCGATGAGCATCTTGATAAGCACCTGGTCGTGCCAGTGCTTTCCCAGGTTCGGGTAGTAGTGGAGAAAGGACAAGTGCTGGCGAAGTTCTTCTAGGGTGTCGCTGAAACGGATGGTTCTCGCGCCAGGCCCTATGGGAAGAAATCGGCAGGTCTGTACGGTATCGAACATCTTGCCTGTGATGGATAGGATGGGATTGAGTCCTGGGTTGCTCACGATCGGATTGGGGGAGAGGGACGCCCCTGCGCTAAATCCAGCCTTGTTTCTTGTCCCCACCGCTCTCCATGTGGAGATGGTAGGTCCATAGTGATGCTTGCCATCGTGGTTCATTAGGTCGGGGATCCAGGAAGAAAACCGACTGCCCTTTTCTCTTCCAGCCCGATACAGAAGCTCGAGAACGCGGTTCCTTTTGACAAACTCCTCGGCGTATCTCGAAAGTATGACGGCGTCATCTGATTCATAGTCGGGTATAAAAGCCTCATTGTCGCTGCTCGTATCAGCTGCCAGGTTGATCATAGCAAAGAGCTTGTCGCGCGGTTTAGTGGACTTGGTATAGAAGAAAATTTCGACCAGTCTCAGAAAAGGGAGCTTTAAACGACCCACTCGAGGTTGTCCCGAGTGGCCTTCCAAGCACCGTCGCGTGTGGTGTAGAGCACGGGCAGGATCCGAATATGTGACTGGCAGTTGCTTCCGGTCTGCTGCTCCCACAGCAGCATATAGCTGCTGCATATGTTCCTCGAACGCCATGACCCCTTCCATAAAGTCGTCCCATTCGATTTGGGAATTCTCATCCATGATGGTAACGCGGGAGCCAAAGACCAGCTCTTGGATGATCCAGGTCCGAGTGAACCACGGCCGTTGCAGAAATGCTTTGATCTGCATTCTTTCCTCGTTAGTCAACAGAAGAGCTTTGACTGCGTGCTCCCCCACCCCCCGCCGCGATCCTCGCTGCTTTCCGAGTTCATCGAGTAGACCAATCGCATCGCAGTCGTCGTCCTTCCTGCTGCCGATCCAGACAATCACACGTTTGGCTTGACTGTACAAGGATCCCATGCGGCGGACCTGCATGCTCTTCTCGAGGTTATCCTTCTGATTGATGCAGACGGCGTCCGCCCATATCAAGTCATTTACGCCGTCGCGGCGAAGGCGGCGGAGGCATGTCCACAAAGATTCTGTAATGGGGATTTCCACATCATTTACCACAAATTGGAATGGCGAAAGCTTTGTGGGCTCGGCACCCCAGACGTAAGATATCGCACAGAACTCAGCCAAAGGCATGCTGTGCTTGATTGACGACGCAACCATGAGCTTTCCTTTCAGCTGCGAATTGCCGCCGCCGTCGAGGTCGAGTTTTAGCAGCCGAATCTGGTCCGTGCGAATCTCCAGGCCGTGATAGATCTTTTCTGTTTCCGAGGCCATGATTGCTTCTGTTGGTCTTTCGATAACCATGGCCGAGGCCAGTGGCGAGATGCTCCCTCGAAAGGAACTAGCAGCCTCGATTGAAATAGAGCCCTCCTTGTGAAGTCGCCAAGGGTCGGCGTACAAGGCGATTCCCGGGTTTGTACGGACATGGTACACGCGGGCGAGGACGAACACATTGTCGGGGCTCGTCTTTCTCGTCTTGCCGCTACCTAAAGTCATTGCTTTGGCCTGGTAACAAAGTGATCTGTCAGTTTTGGTATTCCTGATTGCTTCCTCTTTGGGTCGTGTGGCTAGCTATGCTGACCTTATTATATTGCGCATTTGACAGTCTAAATGGCCAATGTAGGTTCCCGTTGGTAGCGCAGACTTGTATGTGAAATTTGCACGTCTCGTGGAGCGCTGAATCAGGCATCTGATAGCCTCGAATAGTCGAATCTCGGAGCTTGCCACGGGTCTCGGATATTGTGAAGGTGGAAAGGTCATCTTCCGCCGTGTTCTCGTCATACGGTTTGTGTCCGTTGCGGGAGCGCATGCTGCTGGTCCAGTGCTCATCAGGATGGTAGGAATCTTGGCCTAGAAGCGAACCTAAAAGATGAGATACCTGGCCCAGACGAGGCCGTGTCAACAACAAGGACAGGGGAAAGAGGGATTGAGCAAAAAGTGACCACCAAGAAGAATACGTACGTAAAGTTCTCCGAGAAATCTGGTCTCCTGGGTATCCTCGTCCAAGAATACTGTCGATGGAGATGGATTGAATAAGAGGCCGCGGCTCGTATTCACAAAACTGTCGTCGAGGCGTCGAGACATAAACAAATCGAGAAATTCCGAGGCCTCTGTTTGGTCGTTGCGTGGCAAGATGCCCCATGGGCTGGCTCGATTGCTCAGCCGCAGCACTTCGGTCCCTCTACTGCCAACAGAGTGTGATCGTACTTCTTGGGCTGTGGCTCTCACCGACAAGTCCCCAACTTGTCTCAACCGATCCATAACAAAGCCGTAGTCGTCCTTGCTTTCGCCCCTCAGCTCTGGAACCCCGTCCATCATTGGAAGTATAGTCATGTCTGCGTCCGACACGATCGTGCTTTGGTAGTTTTCTTCTGTAATCTGAATGTCTGATTGGGTTTGGTTCCCAGCCTTCCCGGTCTGATGATCTGGTGTTTCAGTTTCTCGGTTGGGAGGCGTATCAGCTTGTTGACCCGAACTATCTGCCTCGTCAACTGTGATTGTCGGAACGTTTGGGCCGAGGGGCGCTCTTGAGTAGTACTCCTCGGACTCTTGATCCTCGCGAAAAAATTGTCTGTCCTCGAGATGGCCCTCGCATGGTGTCGTCTCCCACTCAACCTCCTGGCCTGGGTCCGACTGCCTGCCGTCCGGGCTTGATGTCTGCGCTGGATCGGATACGAACGAATCCATCGCACTGTGATCGTCGTCATCACCCACCCTTGGCTTGTGCTTGCGTTTTCCGTTACGTTTCTTGGCTTTCTTCTCCAGCGACTGACCTTTTGGTGTCGCTTCCATTTGGGCAAACATAACGTCTTGAGGATATTCGTGATCGTTCCATTCTATCCCTCGACTTTCCTCGCTGATGTTGACGGGTTCGTTCTTCTCAGCGACGTCGTTCTTGTCGGTTTCCGACAAGCTATCTCTATTCTGGGCAGCAACTTGCGCATCGGGTTTGCCGTGGCCCCTTTCTTGGTTCTGTTCATCAGAGTCCTCTTGAAAAGGGTCTGATCCCATCTCAGAGTGTTCACTCTGGGCTTCATCCTCGTCTGTCTGGCGATTCTTAGGGAAAGCTCCGTCGCGGCGCTGAAATTCCTCGTTGTTAGTTCGTCCATGTCCAACAAGGTTAGGGTCCTCTTGTGAGATAACTTGTCCCTGTGAGCGAGCTTCCCCCTGTCTGAGTGGTCATGCACAATGGATTTCTCGGCTTGACTGACCGCATCATGCAGGTTTTTTGACAGCTCTGCCTGCCAATATTCACGGTAATCACGAAGAGGAGGCTGTTCTCTGACAGTGTTGGTGCTATCTTGGTCATTGATGTTTCCATCTGTCATGATTGGGCTTGTCGGCTCTTCTAGAAGATGCGTATCTGACAATGCGTATTAGCTGGTAAAGCCATTGATATAAGTGTAACATAGTTTGGGAATCCATACCGATTGCGGAATCGATGTTCTCTGCTGTCATTGCGGGAACGATGCCAGTAACTGGGTCTGAAGGGAATTGCGTCTCCATTGACGGAACGATACCAGTTGGCAAAGAAGGGAGGGTTGTTTCGAAAGTCACTGTCTCCTCAATAGCGTCGGTTTTTTCTTCAATAACCTCGTCTGTGCGCCCCCCACCATCAAAGCGCCTGTAAAACACAACACCGAGGACTGTAGTCAACATGGCAATAGACAGGATGGCAAAGTCCAAGAGCAGAGTGGTTTCAGGGAGCTTGCTCGGAACGAGATCTGGCGCGAGGGAAGTTCTCTTGAAGGTAGTGAGCGGAATGACAGATGGTGGAGGTGGAAGAGTCCTTGGGATAGCAATGCTCACAGGGTGAATGTTCGGGGAAGGACTAATAAGGGTAGGAACAGGTGACAAGAGATTATCCAAACTGGGAGCAGTGCTTCGAGGGAGAGCCCCCGGCATGATCGTGGCCTTGACGACAGTATTCCAGGTGGGTTTTGTCGAGGAGAAACGAGTTAGGATGGGCACCCCTGAAAGGTCCACGGCGTCAGACGACTCAGTCCAAAGGCCCGAAAGATATATGCTCGGATACATCTGGCGTATGAGCATATACATACAGAGATGAATCATCAGGAGTCTTGTCAGATTATCGAACAGCGGGAAATCGATAATACCCAGGTATATGTCGAGGGGTAGAGCAGTAAGGTCAAAGCTCAGAAAGATCGACGGGAGCCCAGCGCACGAGGACTCAGTCTTTGGAGGGCACTCGAAGTAATCCTGTGGCGCTTCCGCGACCCCCGTATCTGATGCACTTGTCACTGCGCTGTTCATGACTGGGCTAGATCGGACGATCCTGGTAGGGCTTTTGTCATCATCGAAGTCTTCAGCCGGACTTGGTGCTATAACCGTTGGCAGCGAGGTTCCTTCGTCCGTGAGCTTGTCTCCTTTAAAGCTCGACTCAATCGGCGACAGTATTCCCGGGCTGGATTCAGCGTCCTTGATACGTTGGGTGTCACCAGGGTCATCAACCTGGTATGGTTCTGTAACTGATGGTGGCCAGATTCCTTCCCGCGCGAGAATGTCTTCGATGCTTGACTCATTGCAGGACAGGGCTAAGCAGAGCGGGAGCTCCAATCCCTTCTCTACTCGATACCAGGTCGACAACGCCCGTGCCGCGATCAAGGCATAGCTTTCTCCATCCTCGAGGTAGATACGAAGTTTATCTGCTTCTGGGAAGACACCCGATTTGCTGGTGTCTTGAAAACTGGCTGCAACTGCACCGGAGCGGCCTCTCACTTCCCATTCGAACGAAAACTTGTTTGTGCTGTAAGCCTCGACAGTCTTCAGTTGTTTCAAGGCTTTGCATTGCTCGACCTCGTCACCTGGTACCAGACTGGTGGCATTTGGATTTCATGTCAGTCACGTAAACCTGGTCTTCGGAAGTAGATCGCAATGTGGTCCAGGGGGGTAGTCCTCGCTTTCACCAGGCTCTTTCTTGTCGACGGGAGTCTAGGGAATTGAGAATTGTGAGGTGGGCTGGGCTTACCGCGCAATATACTTCGCTCTCGCGCGGAGTAGAGTCGTAAATTCATGATTCAAAGTAGCCTGGATTCCTGGCAGGGGTTTAGAGATAGCCACCTCGGAAAGCAAGCGGTCTTTCATCCCTGGTAATTGAAACATCCACTTCATCTTCGCGAGCTGATTGTTGTCAAAAGCAAGCAGTGGAATTTTCCCACGAAACCCATGACGAAGATGACGACGATCCGCGATGTACCAGTCCGAGTTTGACTGACAAGAACAAAGGTAATATGCTCTGGAGACTTCCTTCCCGTCACCTGACGGCTCAATGGGGAACAAGTCGGTTGTGCAGAAGGTCGTCATGTTTTCAGGTGTTAGATGAGAGCCACTGCGCTTGGTATATTTATCCAAGCATATGAACAAGTCGACAATGTAGCTCAAGTCGTCGCTGGGTGTGATTTTCAAGGCCTCAGTTACGACGGTCTGTAGGTCTGCATCCCTGACTTCCAAAAACTCTCGAAAGAGCCTTTGGCAGGACGGATATAGCCTTTCCAAGATAACACTCTTCTTGAGCAACTCTGGTGGGCCGGACCAGAGGCATTCATCCGTCTTCAGCAGTCGTGCTTCTGCAGACTTGCTGCGGGGGATGAACACCAGTGGATGTTGAGAGAAGGCTTGCCTGTTGATTTTCATAAGTCCGATTTTTCATCTAGAGGTATCTTAGAATCACTTGTGTGCATTCATACCTTAACGCTGCCAGATTTTTAGACCCCATGTCCTGGATATTTGTATACAGCCAAGTGTAATCTTCTAGCTGTTGTTTCCTGTCCCGCATGGCTTCCAACACCTCAAGGTAAAGTGTCACGCTCGGCTCGATTTTGACGCCCAAATTCTCCAGGAAGGACCAAGACTGGTCCTCAGGCTCCGGGATTTCCAGCACTTGGACATACTTCACCGCTTTCTCCCGGCTGTCTCGGAGGAAGACAGACGGGAGGACGGTCTTGCTCAAAGGATAGGAATCAGTTCGGCCTTGGCATTTCACCTGCGTCTCTCCCAGTTGACGCACCAACTCATTGCGCGAAATCGTCCACGAGTGTGATCGTTGTTGTCCACTTCGTTCGCGGCGGTCCAGCCACTCCGAGTAGGCCTTCCAATTGTCTCTGAGCAGCTTCAGAAAACGTGTGTAAGGCCAGTGTTTTCTTATCATCTCCATATCGTAAGAGAGAATAAACCGGCCGCCATGCAGTGGGCGGACGAGACGAGGAGCCGTGCATATCCCAATCGCCTGATTGAGCCATTGCCTCCATTTCTCCTGCTCTTCCGGTACGGCGTCATGATAGTCTTTATGGAGAGTGGGAAACCTCCTCCCTCCGGCTTCATAAGCCTGGAGATAAACTTCGGACGCCCGGTGGTATGTTTCCGTATCCGTTGCGACCCACAAATCAACACGGCCGGAGGATCGCCATGACGAGTGACGGAAGAGAAAGGCAGCTTGTGAAATCAATGCCTGTCTTGGGGATGGGGCCACGGACGAATCATGAATCTTGACAATAGCATCGCAGATGGCCCCTGTGTCCAAATGCTTCGCTCCTAACTGACGGAATAGTGTGTCTCGCGATGGATCTTTCAGGGCATCCGGATGGACCTCCATGATACTCATACCCTCTGGGATTGAGAGGTGGGTTTCGCCTGTGGCGAAGAAGAGCAACTCGCCGCATTGGTTTGCCGCCATCCAACGGCCGTCACGGAGTGGGATGATTGGAAGCTTGCCAAGTTTGGCGCGATCGCCACGAGACATGTAATACTGTCTGACAACAACTGTGGCTAGTGCTGAATGCCACTCTGAAGATCGGTCCTTCCCTGCTTGTTCTCCAAGGCAGTCAAATAGATCCTCGAGGAAACTGGGAAAGTCTAGAACCTTGACGCCCAAGAGCTTAAAGTTGTCCTCGTCGTCGTGAGAGTATTTCCTGGACAAATACTTGAGCCGGGTGCCCTGGTTCAGACTCAAGGGCTCCCCATTGCCAAGTGTAAACTGCTTCGGAACATATGTTAGTAATAGAGGGGGACTCATTTGACCACCCTCTGACTCCAGTATACACGTGTTGGAGAGCTTCTTCACGATAGAGCAACCGAGCATATTGAAATCAGCCTGGAGTTCAGATGTTCTAGGAACGTGATGGAGCCACGAATAACGCAAACTAGTTGTGCGGTTGAAATACCGAACAACGTTTGCAAAGGCATCCGGAATCGAGTTGAGTAGCTTCCTATTCCACCGATTATGAACGTCAATGTCTTCGCGCCCGGCCACGAGGAGGAAATCTGCTTGGATGAGGAACTTTTCAAATAATGAGTTTTACATACTGTAGGATCGGAGACAAAAGCCACAAGAGCCCATAGTCATACCTTGAAACCGCAATCCCGAATGGGAAGGAAGGAAAACACCTGCTGTGTTCGAAGTCTATCCTTTTGTGAACCTGAGAGGAGGAATCCCAGCACGATCTCGGACTCGGTCTGACCAGGGCGTTTCGTTTCGTCCGGCAAATTCTGGACAGTATGTCGGAAGAGGCGATAGTGCAGAGCTTCGTTGTCATTCTCGAAGATCTTCACTTCGATTGATTTGGTGTCTAGATGCCTGTCCTCTCGACGGAGCCTTCTTTCAATGGGCTGGCCCGAGGTGTGCACAACTAGATTAACCTCCCTTAACCTCGTGAGAAAGATTAGAGTGTTTGCGTCAAAAGATATCATCTCCTTTCGTAGCTGTTGCTCGTCGCAACCATCTGAGAGCTGAAGATGCATGGATGTACCGATGTTGGATAGACGCCTGTCGGGGAGGTCGGCCCAAATAGGAGTAATCATACCGAGCGGCCTCTGACGATCGAACATGAATGAGTAACTGCCAGAAGATATCCAGACCTTGTTCGCGACCTTGAAGACAGACTTGAAGCCGATCCCTTTCTCACCGATATACCTTCTCCCTCCACCAGCAGATCTAAACTTTGTACTCCTCCCGATGCGACAGATGGCTTCAACGTTGGCGTCGGTAAAGCCATCTTCGTTGCAGTAAATCCGTAGGCTGTGGTGCTTGTATTCGAAAGAGATTTCAGGCACCTTCTCCGCGCTGTACTCGTTGTCGTCGGCATTTTGTAAGAGCTCCAAAAGAAAATGTGACTGACTCCGATAAAGTTCATCTGCGAGACTTGAACCAGTATTGTATTAGCAGGGAGGATCTCGTGCTGTTGGAAATCAACTTTCCAAACAACAATCTCACAACCGGGCGAATCCATACTATCGAACGGATGATTCCAAGTCTTCTATGTTCCGACTATCCTTTCCAGGTTGCCTGCTGCGTGTGATGTCCTCAACATGCCTTCGGGCTCGATCTTCTAGGGCCACATCCGTCATGATGGACAAAGGCAAAGAGAGGTAAAGGCATCAAAATAGGCTAACTTGGGCGCAGAAGCTCAAAGGCCAAAATCAGAACACTTAACAAGACCGGATGAATTCTAGGCAGGAAGACAGCCTACAAGGGGGCATATCAAGACAGACAAGGAAATCAGAGAGAGAGGGGGGGGGGGGGGGGGGGGGGGGGGGGGGGGAAAGATGCCCTTGAGTTTCGCGCGCTGTTGCGCCCTTCGCTCCGCCACTAGAACAGTGAGTGGCATCGATCCGAAGGCGCATGCCGATGTCGTAAGTGGTCACATTCATGGGGCAGAGCAAGACGTCGAATAATGATTCAAACCCAGAGGCTGCAAAGACACCTGGTTTCTGATAGGGGAGAAGGAAAAAACCGGTTTGCTAGGCTGGCAGGTGCGTGCGGCTGCCAGTCACGAACGATTTTGTTGGCATTAATATTTAGATGGCAGTACATATTATTGGGTGACTGAGTAGGCAGTGGAGACACGTTAGGCCACCCTTGTTCCTGAGAAGCGTCAAGACCGCCTAAACAGCAGGCGGATTTCCCGGCAACGACCGTACGCAGTACGCTGGAGCACCCTACGTGAGACCTGAAGCCACGGCTACAAGGCTGTCTACCATATATCAAAATCCCTTCTTCAAATGAACGATGGGTTTTACCCCAGCGCCGCCGTCTCACCGGTGTCTCGCTCTCAGTCAGAAACGCCCATCTCTCCCGCGTGAACCCGCCAGAAAAGCACCTTCTTATCAAATCCACCACTGACAAGAATCTCCTTTCTCTCCTTTCCATGCCCGTGACTGCCAGACTCAGCGGTTTCCCAGCCAGCCCACAAAGTCCGCACTTTACTTCCGACCTCATGTCCCTTGAGGGTGGCCACGACCTTGCCACTATGCGTGTCCAAACCACGGATGACCCCGTCATCTGCATTCACAAACACCCCCTTCCCACCTGGTCGCCAAACGACCTGCGGCGTAGAGTAAGGAGTTTGAGGGGCCATGGTCGTCACGTGCAGTTTTATGGCGGCATCTTCGCGGTCTTGCAGTGCTAGGGCGGCGCGGGCTTGCGAGACTTGGGTTTGCGGTTCTGACCCGTTGTCTAGGGCGATGGAGTTGGTCGAGTTGTAGGTCGCCGTGGGGAAGAGGAGTCGGACGATAAGGAGCTTCATGTGTGGAAGGTGAGACGTTGCAACGGCCAAGAGGGAAGGGTCCGTCGGACACACAGCAAGACAGGAAGGGGTAAATGCGACCCAAGCATTGGAGTGAGGTGCGAGATTCTGCCGTCCCGTCTCTTGAACCGAGTATGTAACTTCGCTGCTCCGAGATGAAGATGACTCGTCGGATGTGGGTGTGATGCAGTAGTAGTAAAGGAAGGTAGAGTCGCGTCGGGACAGGACAAGGTAGAGATCATGAGTATCTGGGTTTTGGACGAGAACCATGGACTCTGGGTTCGTGGGCAGTGTAATGGTGTGGATCGGGTCGCGAAGTAGACCCTGAATGAAGGGCTCGTCGCTAGCTATCTCCGACTCCGTGCTGGGCTGGAAGTTTCCTGCGAGCTCATGCTCGGGAGCGTAGATATGGACTTTCTGATCCCACCCGGCCGTCGCCACGATCCATCGTCCCTGACGAGTATATCCCGAGACCACCTGCACGGCGTATTTGAGATGGTCACGCACTTTATCAATCAGTCGACCCCGGGAATCATGCAGCATCAGCTGTCCCGACATGGATGTCGAGAAGACATAGCCTCCGTCCAGAGAGCTGAGGGATAGAACCGGACTTCCGTGAGCATTTTCGATCGAGCCTGTCCGAGTGAATGGCGGCGTAGCCGAGACATTACACCATGAGCGGTCGGCGGCGGTGACGAAGATTACCGCGTCGTTATTCTCTTTGCTGCTCAATCCGCTGACGCAGAGGACATTTGACGTGGTAGGGACACCCTCCGGCTCAACCGCTTTCGAGGGAGCTGGCGTTATCCACCCGACATCAGCATCGCCACCGACCTTTTCGAAGGCGAGACTGGCATCGAATTGTTTCTTCTCCTCGATGATCTTTTCAATCGTCCAGTCACCAGGATTAGTGATCGCTACGTCCTCGGAGAGTCCTGCCTCGATGAGGAATGCTTCGAGAGTCTACACTCATCAGTTCAGAGCGCCACGTTCGGACTCAAAGCAGTCCGCGGTCATGACCAACCTCGTTGTAATGGTTTGCTTTCAGAAAGCGGGCTACAATGACTGCGGGCGAGTCTGTGGCGGGCATTTCTGGTACAAGTCTTGGTAACAGAACGAAACAAAGATTGAGGTTCATGAGGTCAAGCCCGAGATTCAACCACATACGATCACGTGATCCGTTTCGGGCTTCCAGTAAACGTGAATATGAGGGGAGCAAAGCAAAGCAAAGGCCAGGTTGAATGCCATCAATTGTTTCTGAACCATTTGGATACGCATCCAGCTCCCACAGTGCCTCGCCCGAAAGCTGATACGGGTTTGCCCTTACATCATTGCTTCGTTCCATCCTGGGGACTTCCAACCCCATGTCGGGTCTTGTACTCTCGCGGACTCTCATAGTCTTTCCTGTTTGCCGCCCACATGCCTTTTCTCCTAGTCTTCGCCCACCATTCCGCGCGTCTGTACCTCTCTTCTTTGGCCCTCCCAAACTCAACACCCGACTTCGCTTCGTAGATCGTAGCAAGCCCTGCCCGAAGCATTTGAAGGCTGACGTCGCGACGCACGAGGCCCTTCCAGACGTAGACGGTGCCCACCACTCTGCTGTACTGGTCTGCTTTGTAGACATAGGTTCGAACACGCCTTCCCATGATGTAGGCAGTGAGCCAGTCAAGCGCTTCTTTCGCGTAAGGTTGTGCAGGCCGTCCAAAATGAGCAAGTTCGGGGGCGTCGATCCCTGCGAGGCGGACATGTATCTACTCGCCGCGTCAGTCCCCATAGCCTTGAGCTTGTGACCTACACCAATGTACCGTCTGGTCCTTCAGATCCTTTTTGTTCACTGGTACTCTTCGTCCCGGGAACCAACCCCAGCCAGCCAATCTGCCCCCCGGCGTATGATACATGCGGAAGTTGTCTCCATCTCCCACGCTCGTAACTTGACCTACGATGCTTCTCCGCCGAAAGAAACCCGGATTGATGTTAATCGCCTGCGGGATCCTGCGCAGATAGGACTTGTAGAGTTTGTACGTGCCGACGGAAACTGTCGTCAGTATAGCCGCGGCAAGGATAGTTTCGGGTTGAGTGAAGGCTCTCAATTGTGGAGGGATGGATGTAGCAGGTTGTTGCTGATCGCGCACAGCAGGTTCCGAATCCCACGAATCTGTGGCCTTCTCAGCGAGAGGCTTCTGGGGTCCGGATTCATCCTTTGTCGAAGAAGACCACAGCTTGGGCCATGGCATGGCTAGCTTGGTTGACTCTGTGCATAAACAAAAGCGAAGCGCATGAGATCAGTTGAGCAGTTGCGCAGTGCATGTGCAGGATGTTGACGGCGGCCAACATATGCTCCTCCGTAGTGCCACAGGATAAAAATATACGGTGGACCATACGACGTCAATCCTGATATCTTCCAACCAACAACACATCCCTTCTGCCGGTTGTCGTCTTGATATTCGACGGAGTGAATATCCTGTTCATACATCTCCACGCTTGTGACGCAAAGATCTCATTCTGTATGCGCATCCCAGGTCACCCGCCCTAGGTGTCACTGCCACGCCACGTCCGCGTCCAATGAAAATGATAAGCCTTGTCGAAAAGGGGCAAATGGCAATAAGGCTGAGCAGCATGTCCTTTGACACGGGCAAAGTGTTTTGAGGTCAGTGAATATTGGTATTGAATTCGGTGACATCTATTCTTGCTCCTTCCCAATGTCGGGGTCCTATTGAATGCTGCGAGAATGGAACGCTGGGTGCGGCACAGCGCTCATATTTTTCGATCCTCTCCTACTCATTCATTTCCTATTGTCGAGGATACTCGGCTCGACGAGGTCCATGTCACATCGCTCCTATTGAGACCATTGTGTCTCGGCCTACTCCAATCAATTCAACTCATCACTCACATTGAATGCATGTTATTGTGTCCGAATAAGTACAATATAAATGGCCTCTATACATTCAGGATATGCTGTCGAAATGTATTTATATAAAGCCATGAGCTCTCTTTCCACTCCTTGCCCTCATCTCTCATCCACCCTTTTTCCTCATCGTTCTTTATCTCTCTCGTCTATCAAGCAGTTATTTAGTCAAAATGTCCTTTACCGATGCAACCGAGTCCTTCTTTCTGGATGCTGTGTCTAGCATCTGCCAGCCGATTGTCCAAATACTCCCTCTTAATGACGCTGAGGTGTTCGACTATCTCGATGCACATCCAGACGCCCTGTCGAGATACCTGGCGGAACGTTCTGGTATATCGGAATATTTCAGCACAATTCTCGCGGACAAGGTAAACAGCTGCGGCTGGCCTGCTTTTGGCGATGTGTCAGATCCTTTTGCAGACGAACAGGTGGTGAATGGGATACCGAGTGGCGCCATACAAGATGACGCAATGCGACATGCTGTGGTGGCTGGACAGGCGCTTGCTGATGATGGCGATGTGTTTATGTCCCTGGACTACGAGGAAGAAGACGACGACGGAGAAGAAGAAAACGAGGACAAGTATGATGTAGATGACGATGAGCAGGGCGGTGGCTGGGAGAGTGACAGCGATGGTGATGGTCCTGGTCATGAGGGCAACGACAGCAGTAACGAGGATAGCGACAGTGAGGAGAATGGCACCACCACCTCCAACGAGATGTCATCAGAGGCTGGTCCTGTGACACCTTCCAATATCAACACCGCTTCGTCCGCCCCCAGCAACAGCGCTGATGAAGGTGAAGACGATCATGACGGCGATGAGGAGGGGCAGGAGCTGGGGCTGATGCCATATCCGGCTCCTGCACATCTTGTTGCTGCTTCTCGCCTTCAACAACCAACCCGTTCCTGGGCCTTGTGGGAGGAGGAGGCGTGTATCCGCCACATGCTCGACATCCACCGCGAGCGACAACTCAAAGGGGAAGCACGATTTCGAGAGGCCTTGAGTCGTATGCAACTCCAGGATGGTGTGACGAGAACTGGTTACAGCGCCGTTAAGAACTTCTGGAATCGCGTTGGCCGTGCTCGCTCCAGCTTTGACGAACGGAGAAATAAGTCAGCACCATTGGCGACTTCGAAGCAAGGCAGGAGATCCAAGTCGGAGTCTTCTTCCTTGCTGTCACAACGCCGCAGGACCACTCGAGCCTCTTCTTCCCACCAGAAACCTCGCAGCACCAGACGTCGACGCTCTCCGGAGTCCTGGACCGATGAAGACGCATCGGAGTACACCCTTGACAGCGACAACGAGGGACCGGTTCACTCAAGTACCCCTCGCAAACGAAAAGACCGAGACGACAGTGATGATGAGTGGAGGCCAGGTTCTGTGGTAGCCGGTATCGTGACGGCGGTGTGAGGCCATCACACAAAGTTTGTGTTGGTTGGAGAAAGGCCAGTTGGCGCTGCATATCTCTTATTCCAACGACAAATGTATCAATTGGTATCAGAAGGCAGCATATTGAGCTGCGAGAAAAGACATTGTGAGCTCTGAGTTTCAATGAATGAACAGGCGCAAATAGTTACGTACCGAGCGTGTTTGGTGGGCGTCAGCTACAGTTGGCCCGGTTTGCATTGGAAAGCTCTGCAGGATCATTGAGCAACGGAATACTTTGGCTAACGAACATGCTTTGGATATATGTACCTCGATCTAATGCACGAACAGCGGCTTTCTTGTGCGCACTCATTAGATGTGAGGTCACTTGGGAATGGTGGGAAACATAGTATCTTCAGACGAAATTCAAAGCGCTCAGCAACAACCCATTTTTGCACTCCTATACAGGTCGATCACCCTCCAGAGTGATCCTCAGCATTCTCCGTCGGAATCCATGATAGTCGTTGATTGGGTTATGCTGCGCGCATCGATTGTCCCAAAAGGCTATGCTGCCCACTTGCCAGCGGAACCGGCACGTGAACTCCGGCTTGACCTGGTGTTGGAACAGGAACTGCAGGAGTGGCGCGGACTCGTCCTCTGTCCAACCCTCGAAATGGGAGGTATGGGCGACGTTGACGTAGAGGGCCTTTCTGCCGGTTTCGGGATGTGTTCGGACGACGGGGTGAAGTGCTTCCAGCGAGGACGCTGCCGCTGCGTTTCCCGAGTCACGGATGCGGTCTTCGCGGGTCTTGCTGGCGTCGGCTTTGGCGGAGGTGCTCACGGCCTTCAAGGGCAAGAGCGTCTGCTTGAGTCCTTCCGAGAGAGACTCGTACGCAGCGTACTGATTCGCGAACAACGTGTCGCCACCATACGGGGGGACTTCTTTGGCCATCAACACCGACCCCATCGGTGGATTTTCAAAGTAGGAGGTGTCCGAATGCCAGATTCCTCCGAAGTTGATGACCTCGTGTTCTTGTTTGAGGACTTGGATGATTTCGGGGTAGCCGTCAATGCCCCGGACAAAGGGATATTCGACGGGTTTGCCAAAGTGAGCGGTGAAATCGAGGTATTCTTTGGGCTCCAAGTTCTGGTTGCGAAAGAATATGACTTGATGTTCCAGAAGAGCCTCTCGGATCTCCTTGACAACACCTGGGTTCTCCGAGAGTTTGGCGAGTTCAACGTCGTGGATCTCGGCGCCCAGTGATCCGGCCACTCGCTGTATCGAGATATTTCTCCTGGTCGGTGCATTCAGAAAAGAAGGAAGGACATTGCGTAGAGTAGGGCGAGACGGGCGGACCAGCCACAAAGCTCTAGTGGCATTCATCGTGCGAGACGATCAAAACAAGCAAGCTAGGGCGATGATATCTGGATAAAGGCGGATTGTTCGAGTCCTACCTGAGGTGCGACCAGGCATGCGATATATTCTTCGAAGAGCCTTGTCGCAAACCCATCTTGCCTAGATATATATAGTGATGCACCACCCGAGGTTCGCCATCCTCCTTGCACGCTCAGAGCGAGACACGGCGTTGATGGAGAATATAGCAACCTGTCTGACGGAAATAAATATAGGTGACAGCGTGGGAACTGGCTGTATGTAGATCGAGAAATTTGTGTCAGACTAAATCATTTGCTCCTCTCAAGTCGCCGGTCATCGGCTCGGCGGCGGGGAGGGAAATGCGGAGTGATACTAGTGAGGAGACATCCACTAAAGCAGCGTCATATTCGACCGAACTCGGGTGTTGGGACAAGAAATGATGTCGC